CAAATCGAAGGGCAAAACCTAAAAACTCGCTCCAGATTTACTCTATGCGACCGCATAGGTATAAGTGTTGCGGTCGCATAGAAGGCTGAAATTGGCCTCTGAAATCTCTGAAAGGTCCAATGCGGTCGCATAGAAATAACACTATGCGACCGCATAGGTTTGTGATTTTTCCCCGGACAGTCTTTAGTATTTTGGCCATAACTTCTTCTCCCGATATCCGATTGAGGTGATTCGAGTTGAGTTGGAAAGATGACTCAAATATCTACAACTTTGATTCAGAAGTCAACTTCCAATTCGACCATCTACCATATCAAAAACTGGTCTCAAGACGATGCTGAAAACCGGTGCGAAACTTTTCAGCTTGAAGTTGATATTTGATAATGTTTTGGCTATCTTTCACCCCTGTGACTCCTTGTTTCATTCAATTGACCTCTAAAACTCTTGAATCTTCATCACAAAGGTAGAAATAGGTTTAGAGTATTTGCACTTTAGTCCCTGAACTTTCACTTTCTTCNTTTCCAATATGGTGGCATAAGAATATGTGGGATTCTATGTCACACAGTCTGTAGACTAATTTCAAACATGACAAATGCCAGCGTGCTGGACTACTGAAGTCTAGGTTTGGTAAGGAATTTGAGGTAACAATGTTGTTAGACTTCCCATTTTGGGATGTCCATAAAGAAGTTGCTTCATTTCGAAAAAGCAAACTTATTATATTATACATTCTGAATGCACCATCACAAAAGATAATTTTGGGAAAAAAAATTCAAATATCAGTTTTCCAAAACTTTACTCATAATATCCTTACTGGATAAGTTCATGTCTTATTCATTGATGACATCCTTATCAACTATTGAAGTAAGAGTGCTAGGAGCATTTGAGGCCTTTGTGTTTCTCAAGGTTGTGCTAAAAATTATGGAACAGAATTAGAATTCTCTCTCCTTCATCCAATGAGTCTACTGTGAACTTCATTTAAAATTCCAGTCTGATGTGTTATACCTCTAAAGAAATAGCTTTGATGATGTCTGCTATTTTTCCCTTTTGCCCAATTTTTAGATAATAATTTGCCATTTTGCAGGTTCATGTGCACCTCAAGCGACACTTGATGAATGATTTGCCTCAAACAGATGATGTTGTTGCTCAGTGGTGTAGGGATGCCTTTGTGGCCAAGGTGACACTTATGATTTCCTTCAGTTTTGATATTTACTTCTTCTGAAACTGTTGACCATTGAGGAAGACTGCATCTGAAGAATACGAAGAATTTCTGCTTCCAACATTTAACTTGTTCCTTTCCTATATATATGTTTTCTTGTGAATTAGGATAAGTTATTGGACAAGCATGTAGCTGAGGATTCCTTCCGTGAACAATTGCAAGACACTGGCCGGCCAGTGAAGTCCCTATTGGTATATTCATTAAATTAGTTCGGGCATGTTTGGCGAAGCTTAAAAAGTTTACTTACAGGGAAACAAAATATTTTTAAAATAAATAATATTTTTGTAGATGAAAATTAGAAATAAGTTACTCATTTCTAACACAATTTCAAAAGGCCTTCTAACACAATTTTATGGTTGAATTGGAGACATGAAACTTTTCATTCTTAGTCTTAGACACATGGCTTAGGTGAACATGACCTTGCCGGTCGAGGAATCCTCCCACAAGAAAAATTCAATAGTAAATGTATCGATTTGTGTGATTGCAATAGTGAGAAAAGATGCACATCCAAAATTTGTTCAATGATCAACAATGTGGGTATACAGTTGATTTCCTTCTTTTCTTCATTATCCGGATCGCCGAGACACTGTTTACAAACAATGTTGTGCAACAATTAGAAAAATGAGGGAGTAATCATGAAAATCCAAAGAGGAAAACTAAATTAAACACAACTTTGTTGGGGGAAACCTTTTTAAATGACCTTATGCTTGATATTTTTTTCATCTTCAAGTTAGAATAAGGCCTCCTAAGCAACTTACTTAGAAGGGGAGATTTGAAGGTTCAACCTTGACGCCTATTGCCTAAATTTCAAAAATATTGTTCATGGTAATAATGTTTTAGCCATGAAATTTCTGTGTGTATATTTTTTGTGGTAATATATTATCTCAATTAGAATATTTAGATCTACAAAAACTTGATGCCTAGAGTCATGACACACATTTTGCTTTGTGTGTTCACAATGCTTTTATTAGGGCATTATCTGGGTTAAGAGTGATCAAAATTTCTCTCAATGTGTATCGCTATGGTTTTTCAAGTGTAATTCAAGAACTGATCATGTTCTCTAATCTTTGGAGGTTATTCCATTTCTCAGCTTCCTAATATGATATGATGTGGGAGCCTCATTTGCTAGACTTGTGGCAAATTGTGTCAGTTTATTTACAGAGTAACAAACTAACAATGCTGGGTGCATCTTTGTTGTTTCTGCTTCATTTTTGTTGATCTTGCATATATGATTATTAGCAACTATAATTTTTTAGTGAAATGAATCCTTAGATGATTTATGTCTATATATAGGGAAATCATAATTGTGAAGCTACACCGTGGTCAGGAGCTCATTCTAAAAGCCATAGCTAGGAAAGGAATTGGTAAAGATCATGCTAAATGGTCACCTGCATCAACTGTCACATTCATGTATGAACCAGATATTTATATCAATGAAGAGTTGATGGAGAGCTTGACACCTGATGAAAAAAGGAAGTTCGTTGAAAGCAGTCCTACCCCAGTGTTCAAATTTGATGAGAATATGAATCAGGTTGATGATCACAAATCTCATTCTCTGTTAGGATCAAGATGTATGATGACATGATGTGTGGTTCTCTGGCTTCTCTCTTATTTTTTTCCCATATGTTTGATCGTTTGAAATATCGTTCAGATGATTTTTGAGACACTTAATCCAAATTATATACTGCGTTTCTAACATTCCTTGGGACATCCCATATAGCCAATTTTTTAAAAAAATTTACTTCTTATGAGATTGACTAAAGATGAAAGTGAAATTAACCTAGCAAATGGTGAAACAGATCCAGAATTCTCATAATGGAAATGGGCACGTATTCCCTCGTTATTCTCGATTTCGCATACAGGTTTGCTATAAAAGCTAATCCACACACGTGATGACTTGTCGCAGGCAAAGGACTACAAGCGGCCAACGTATGAGGAAGTTATGAGAACCTTTCGGCCTTACTTTGTTGGCGCTGAACCAGCTACAAAATGCCATTCTACAAAATGGTGAATATTATCTGTGTTTGCTATGTTTAATTGTTACTGGACTCTGTAAATGTAAATTACTGAACAGGTTTCTTGTTTAATAGATTTACAATCACATTATTAGATAGCCAACTACGTTGCTAGCACGTGCATTGCACGTGCGTCAAACTAGTAATGAATATAAATGCATCATAATTAATTGATCATACCATCATATAGAATAATGACTATCTTCATTAAAGATGAACTGATAAGAAGATTCCAAACCTGCATTATTGTTATTAACTTGAGGTTTATTGTGAGACGAGATTACTCGTCCCCATTAAACACGTTTCATGTCCCACATTTGACAGGTTTCTTTAGCTATCCCCCCATTTATTATTTTTTACATATTAATATGCCAAACTCTTGTAAATAATGGAAAGAGTAATACGTCCATATGTAATATACTATAAGCCTCCGTTAAATTTATAATACATTTTTCCCTCTTCTTTTTGATCGCATATTTTTTCAATAAAATAATATTACACATAAATAAATAAAAAATTCATTTTTTTAAACCATACATTTTCCGAAAAACTACCATTCCAAAAATTATAACATCAAATAACGAGGGCTAAACTCGTGGACAGGCTANAGCACAGAATTATTTTTCCAAACAGTATTTTAATCAGAAATGAACACTGTAATGAATTCCTAGAATACCAGACAAAATCATTGCATATTTGAAATTCCCTTTTAACCTATATATCCTATCTTTCTTTTTCTAGTTTTACTTTTAAAGTCCGTTTGATTGCAAGATTGAAAAATTGGTCAACAGGAAATGAATTTCAGAGAAAATAATTGTCTAGAACTTATTTTTTCGAGAATTGTCAATTAATTGTATTTGATTGGTATAATTTTCTATTTGAAAAATGTTGAAATTTTGGATATTGGTTGTTCGTTTGACTTTGTTTTCTATGAAATTTGATCGCTAATATGTAGATATGAGGTAGTTCGAATTGATTTGTTTTAATACAAGAAGTATCTAATTGTGTTCTCTTGAGTAGTTTCATCCATCTTTACATAGCATGTTAAATTTAATACTACGTACTTTGCACACAAATTTATCTACTTAAGGGTGCGTTTGAATGCAAGGGTGGAAAATTGGTGGAAAGAAAATGTTTTACAGGGAAAACATTTGCTTAGAAAATGTTTTGCAAGGAAAATGATTTCAAGTGTATTTAATTGGTATAATTTTCCACCCGATATTTTTTTAAAATTTTGGATCTTTTTGTTCACGTTTGACTTTATTTTACATAAAAATTGTTCATTAAAATAATTTTTTTTTACAATTGATTATGAAATTTGTTACCATTGTCAAAACGTAAAAGACAAAAAAAAGTTTGCTGGAAAACTATTTTTCACTATTTTTTATCAAAATTCAGTATTCGTTTGAATTCGTTTTACATGACAATTATCCATTAAAGTGATTTTTTTTTTTTTTTACAATTAGCTATAAAATTTATTACAATTGCCCAAAAAAAAAAAAATTGGCCAGACTTGGAATTCATTTTCCCACCACAATGGTGGGAAAACATTTTCAGCCAAAAAGTGGAAAATGGGCACGTGGAGGGGTGGGAGGGAAAACATTTTCCTTGGAAAATTTGTGCTGTCAAACAGCACAAAAGTGGAAAAATAGAAAATATTCATTTTCCATGGAAAAAAACCCAATCAAACACGGCCTAATTGTCTAGAAAATATTTTCCAAAGAATTATTAATTAAGTGTGTTTGATTGTTATAATTTTCCACCCAAAATTTTTTTTAATTTTGTGTTTATTTGGCTTTATTTTATATGAAAATTATTCATTAAAGTGAAAATTATTTCTACAATTGATTATAAAATTTGTTTCTTTTGCCAAAAAGTTAAAAAAAAAAATTCCAAGAAAATCATTTTTTCATCAAAGTTTAATATTCGTTTGACTTTGTTTACATAAAAATTGTCCATTAAAATGAAATTTTTTTTACAATTGGTGATAAAATTTATTTTTATTGCAAAAAATAATAAATTGGAATTGCGTTTTCCCACCAAAATGGTGGGAAAAACAATTCAACAAAAACCAATAAATAATGGCACGTGAGGTAGGGAGAGGAAAACATTTTGTTTAGAAAATTAAACCTATCAAACATGTCAAAAAGTGAGAAATGGAATTCATTTT